CACCGGACAAGTGTTGGAACCATCCGGGCTAAACATCAGTCCAAGTTGAGCAAGCAGGATCAAGACCAAAGCCGACCCTACCTTAAATTTAGAATAGGGCCTTCTTTAATTTCGTGGCTCACTTGTTTAGAGCCTTTATTAAGTAGATTTAGGTTTTTATTTTCCAATCTTGAAGACTAAGTTTTGGGGGCTATATATATGCCTTCTTATTCATTGTGAAATACAGCTTTTGATCATTAATTAAATTGTGAGATTATTCAATCTAGTTCTTTAAGAACTCTTCAAACATATCGGAGGATTCCGTACGTTCACCTGACTTATCAATCAATCTTCCATAATTGGTTGTGGCGTCTTCACACACCAAGGTTCTTGTCTCTTTATAGACAACGGGTCGCGGTTCCACCCCCTTTTGATTCCATCTTTTGGACGGTCCAGGAGTTGATAACCGAAGTATTGTTATCGGGTCTCGTCACATGGTTGGCGTGGTTCATATCAACTCCACTGTATCTTGTTTATCTAGTGTTTTAGCTGTTGTTTGTTGATGCGTATTAAAGTCCAAGTGTTCTAGTTCGTGTTTTTAAGAACGTTGTTGCGAATGCACTTTTGCGAATGTTCTTTTACATGTACGTTTGAGCATGTCCATTTGAGCGAGTGTGTTTGTGCATGATTGTTGATTTGTATTAATGTCCTAGGATTGTAGTTTGTGTTTTCATGATTCTTTTTCCGAATGCACTTTTGCGTGAGTGCTTTTGTGCATGCTTTTGTACTTTTACTTATGTGCCTATCTTCTTTAGTGAGTGTTTTTTGAGCATGTTTCTTGATGCGCATTCATGTCCTCAAACTATAGTACGTATTTTCATGATGGCTTTTGGAATCCAATTTTGACCATGTTCGAGTCTGAATTTGGAAATTTAACGTTAAACAGGAATTGTAGCCAGCTAAAATAACTTTATAATGCCGCCAGAACCAGTTGATTCGGAGTCCGGATGAGAAAGTTATGCTCGACTTCGTGGACACTACCAAAGATGTTGAGGGATCCTCTCTTCTAATTTGATTTTATTTTCCTAATTGCAACTCTTTTGTTACTCTTTGATCATTTTTGCTTCCTAGACACCTAAATTTTGATTTGTACCTATAAGATGCCAAATCCACAAATTTAAACAAAAATATAAATTGATCCAAAAAAAAATCCACGTAAACATAAACATAGAGTGTTATTTCAACACTCCACTGTATCTTTTTTATCTAGTGTTTTTGCTGTTGTTTGTTGATGCGTATTAAAGTCGTAGTGTTGTAGTTCGTGGTTTTAAGAATGTTGTTGCGAATGCACTTTTGCGCATGTTTTTTTACATGTACGTTTGAGCATGTCCATTTGAGCGAGTGTGTTTGTGCATGTTTGTTGATTTGTATTAATGTCCTAGGATTGTAGTTTGTGTTTACATGATCCTTTTTGCGGATACACTTTTGAGTGAGTACTTTTGTGCATGCTTTTGTACTTTTACTTATGTGCGAATGTTTTATAGCAAGTGTTTTTGTGCCCGTTTCATGATGCGCATTCATGTCCTTGAACTGTAGCACGTATTTTCATGATCGCTTTTGGTATCCAATATTGACAATGTTCGAGGCGCATTTGGAAATTTGCCGTTGGACAGGAATTGTAGCCAGCTGAAATAGCTTTCTAATGTCGCCGGAACAAGTTGATTTGGAGTCCGGATGAGAAAGTTATGGTCGACTTCGTGGACACTACCCAAAGATGTTGAGGGATCCTCTCTTCAAATTTGATTTTATTTTCCTAATTGCAACTCTTTTCTTACTCTTTGATCATATTTGGCTTCCTCACACCTTATTTTCGATTTGTACCTATAAGATACCAAATCCACAAATTAAAACAGGGATATAAATTAATCCAAAAAAAAATACACTTAAACGTAAACGTAGAGTGTTATTTCTACACTAAACTGTATCTTTTTTGTCTAGTGTTTTTGCTTGTTTTTGTTGATGCATATGAAAGTCCTAGTGTTGTAGTTCGTGTTTTAAAGAACGTTGTTGCAAAAGCACTTTTGGGCATGTTTTTTACATGTACGTTTGTGCATGTCCATTTGAGCGAGTGTGTTTGTGCATGTTTGTTGATTTGTATTAATGTCCTAGGATTGTAGTTTGTGTTTTCATGACCCTTTTTGCTAATGCACTTTTGCGTGAGTATTTTTGTGGATGCTTTTGTACTCTTACTTATGTCCGTATCTTTTGTAGCGAGTGTTTTTGTGCACGTTTCGTGATGCGCATTCATGTCCTCGAACCGTAGCACGTATTTTCATGATCGCTTTTGGAGTCCAATTTTGACTATGTTCGAGTCCGAATTTGTAAATTTGCCGTTGGACATGAATTGTAGCTAGCTGAAATAGCTTTCTAATGCCACCGGAACAAGTTGATTTGGAGTCCGTATGGGAAATTTATGCTCGACTTCGTGGACACACCCAAAGATGTTGAGGGATCCTCTCTTCAAATTTGATTTTATTTTCCTAATTGCAACTCTTTTCTTACTCTTTGATCATTTTTGCTTCTTGACAGCTAATTTTTGATTTGTACCTATAAGATACCAAATCCACCAATTGAAACAGAGATATAAATTAATCCAAAAAAAAAACACTTAAACGTAAACGTAGAGTGTTATTTATACACTAAACTGTATCTTTTTTCTTTAGTGTTTTTGCTGTTGTTTGTTGATGCATATTAAAGTCCTAGTGTTGTAGTTCGTGTTTTTAAGAACGTTGTTGCGAATGCACTTTTGCGCATGTTTTTTAACATGTCCATTTGTGCAAGTCCATTTGAGCGAGTGGGTTTGTGCAAGTTTGTTTATTTTTATTAAATGTCCTAGGATTGTAGTTTGTATTTTCATGATCCTTTTTGCGAATTCACTTTTGCCTGAGTACTTTTGTACATGCTTTTGTACTTTTACTTATGTGTGTATCTTTTCTAGCGACTGTTGTTGTGCACGTTTCTTGATGCACATTCATGTCCTCGAGCTGTAGCACGTATTTTCATGATCGCTTTTGGAATCCAATTTTGACCATGTTCGAGTCCGTAAAATAGCTTTCCAATGCTGCGAGAACCAGTTGATTTGGAGTCCGGATGAGAAAGTTATGCTCGACTTCGTGGACACTACCAAAGATGTTGAGGGATCCTCTCTTCTAATTTGATTTTATTTTCCTAATTGCAACTCTTTTCTTACTCTTTGATAATTTTTGCTTCATGGACACCTAATTATCGACTTGTACCGATAAGATACTAAATCCACCGATTAAAACAGAAATATAAATTAATCCAAAAACAAAATCCGCGTAAACGTCAACGTAGAGGGTTATTTCTACACTCCACTGTATCTTTTGAATCTAGTGTTCTTGTTGTTGTTTGGTTATGCGTATTAAAGTCCTAGTGTTGTAATTCGTGTTTTTAAGAACGTTATAGCGAATTCACTTTTGCACCTTTTTTTGACATGTACGTTTGTGCATGTCCATTTGAGCGAGTGTGTTTGTGCATGTTTGTTGATTTGTATTAATGTCCTAGGATTGTAGTTTGTGTTTTCATGATCCGTTTTGTGAATGCACTTTTGCGTGAGTACTTTTGTGCATGCTTTTGTACTTTTACTTATGTTTGTATCTTTTCTAGCGAATGTTTTTGTGCACGTTTCTTGATGCGCATTCATGTCCTTGAACTGTAGCACGTATTTTCATGATCGCTTTTGGAAACCAATTTTGACCATGTTCGAGTCCGAATTTTGAAATTTGTCGTTAGAAATAGCTCTCTAATGCAGCCAGAACCAGTTGATTTGGAGACCTGATGAGAAAGTTATGCTCGAATTCGTGGACACTACCAAAGATGTTGAGGGATCCTCTCTTCTAATTTGATTTTATTTTCCTAATTGCAACTCTTTTTTTACTCTTTGATCATTTTTGTTTCATGGACACCTTATGTGAGACCCCTTTTCTAATTACACTTAGTAATTTAGAATATGCTAGCGGAAGAGTTATAGAAAATAATGAGTGTGGAATGCTCGTTTTAAAAATCACCTTTTACAAATAAAAAGTTACGCGTAAATTTTTCTTTTAAAATCAGAGGAAGAGTGTCCACATATTACCATATCATATACACTTAACCAACTATCACACAAGATGCTTGCATGACTACATTATTTAAATTATCAAGAGTAAAGATTAGGAATTTCGGACAGATTATATAGATAAACTTCGAAAATTAATTTCTCTTAAACCCTTCGTGAAACGACTTTTAAAATTTAACCACATACTCTAATATGGGTCTTAATCACTCCTTTAAAACAGTTTTAAAACAACATAAGCCATTTGAGAGAAATAATTAAACACGTGCAACTGTACAGTTTGAAAATCCAGAATAGGGGAGGGAACTTTGAAAATTATTTATAAATCCCCTACTATTCTATACACTACCAAATTTTATAATTTATTAGATAAGTGAGTTAGGATCGTGCTCCAAGTTAAATGGATTCATTTGAGTAAGAACAACTTCATATATTGATGCACGTCCAAAAATTACTCAGCACGTGCACAGTTACGGAAATTAATTCATAATAAATTCGTGACTTATCCAAATGATGCAAAAGACCTACCAAAATAACCCTAACAAAAAGTCCTATGACTCTGTAAACTTACATGCAATTCTAAACATAAAGTATATTTAATACTGATTATCGAACAATAGGGCAGAACACAACATATAAGTAACTGATAAGCATTATATAGAAGTTTGGCAAAAAGGGGAAATCAAAATCTTAATTATTATTAAATGCAATGTTTTTACTAATAAGATCTCCCGAGGGGTCGGAAGAGTACGATAATAGATACCTAAGACGGTATCGAAAGTCTTTAAAATTAAACCATAAATAAGTGAATCCACATGACTAGATTAAGAGAACGCAAGATCCACACGCCTTCCATATGAACACATCCTTCGATTCTCCAAATCGACTCCAACTTTACGACTCGTGCTCGGGATTGAAAGTACCTACAAGCATTTCAACACCTATAGGAGTCTTTTGGACTCAATGAGAATTCTGAAGAAATACCGAATACACATAGGCAAACAAACATATATTTATGATATGTATATATGTATATATGCCATCTCAAATCACACACATACACTATATAAATATTTCGATCTTACCTCAATCGTCATTTCATTGAGGGACTTTACCAATTTACCTTTACCTTCTCGGATACCTCTTGGACCTTCTCATTTTAACTCTTAGACCTTCATTTCATCATTTCATAAGGAATAAGAGTAAATCCCTTACAAGGGAGTCGTCATTCTTTTACACACCCATTCATTCAAGTGCTCATACAATGTATGAGAAAAACATTTTTGTTTGGATATCCTTTGAAAAATCAAGTAAAATCATAGACAATAAGCCTTCATTTATTTGTAACCCGTTTCATAAGTGGAATCAAACCACACACTCTTCATCTCATTTTTGGGGTACCGGTCCCTCATACCCCGTGCTTATTCGATCTATGTTTTACAAGATTTTCCAACTTTAAAAACGTGCAAGTGAAGTTAGTATATTTATTCTTTATTTCACATATTCAAAGTTAGCTTTCACATAAGCACACATATTTCCACATATTTCACAAAGGCATATAGTTTAGTCATAAATTACAAAAGCAAGTAAGACACATAACAACTCAAGCAAAGAACATAGATCACATATTTACACATATAACAAAACAACTCAAAGCATTGGGTTATTTATAATTACTATCTCCAAGTTTCATTAATTAAAGTTCAAGCCCTCTTTCTCAAGAGACTTGAAGTTTTCTTTCAAGTAGCACAAAATTTCCATTTATTTCATTTTCTTTCCAAAATATTCGAACCATCAACAATTCAATAAACAAAATTCCATTTTTATTAATCTTGTTCTTGATTTTTATCTTCGTATATTATCTTATTACTCATAGATCATAAACCATGGATCGTAAGCTTCCTCGACCCGGAGGGAGTACACTTACAACCACGTAGGTCGATATATATACACAAAGAAACATATACTTATATATAGCACATACATATTACAAATAAACCATGGATCAAGTACTTTCTTCGACCGCGCAGGTTTATGAAAATCATGGATCGAAGTTTCCTTAAGATCACGCTGGTCTAGTATATATATATAAATATACATACATACATAAAAATTAAATTACAATATTATTCTTAGTTCTTCAAGATTATATCATTTAAAGCTTAGATTCATTCATACATGGATGATATAACAATAAACAACTAAAGTACTATAACTTCCCAAATTTTCGGCCATTAAGAACAAAGAAGGTGAAAGAAGCAATATTATTGGTGAAGAATCACTTGTAGCAAGAATATGCAATTCTCACCTTAATCTTCTTAGATAATTGGAAGGGTGTTCTTTCCTTTCTACAAGGAGAAGAAGAAGAAATTTTAGAGAAAGAGGAAGAAGAAGCTTAGCTTCTTGAATTTTCCGAAAATGATGAAAAGAAAGAAGAGGAAGAAGACTTACTCCTTTGGCCAAGAATTTTACTCTTGAAAGAGAGATTTTGGGGCTTTCCTACACTATTAATTTCGAAAATGGAGGAGAAGAGAAAGAGATTTTGACCATTGATCTTTATGATGCCTGGAGAATATGAGAAAATAGATGAAGGCTTGGGTTCTATTTATAGAGTAGTGGGGGGGACTTGCAACCTTAAAGATTAAGAATTGAAGAGTGACCTTTTTGCAATTTAGGAAAACTTAGGAATTATCTAGAGGGACTTCTTTGCAATTTCATTTAATTATTAAAAAAATAAATTCAAAAGGAAAATCTTAATGTACATGGGCTCACCTAGAGAAGGGTTGTACCAAAGGAAAATTTTGGTCTTGTGTTGTACCATGGTCAAAATTGAAGGATGAATAGGAGGAATTTTCTATTTTTATTTAAGAAAATATGTGATTTAAAGTTCTCCTAACAAATAAGTTCTATCAAATAAAGGATTATAATTAATTTCTAGATTAACAATTAACTAAGATGATCAATTTAAATTCGTCCAAAATTATTTCGGATTAATGCATTCTATATGAAAGTTCACCGGTTATCACATAAATAAAATCTTAAACTAATAAACGCACATAAGAGATAAAATCACGTTAACTAAATAGATTCTAATTGATGAAAAATTAAATTATCGGAGACGCGGGGTGTTACAACCTCCCCCCCTTAAAGAAATTTCGTCCCCGAATTTTGTACCTTTCTTTATTATGTCCGGGTACGGACTCTCAATCTCATCCTCGAGTTCCCACGTTGCCTCATCCGGGGAATGGTTTTTCCAAAGAATTTTGATAAGGTGGATTTCTTTATTTCGGAGTTTCTTAATCTTTTGGTCTAAGATTTGGACGGGTTCTTCTATAAAGATAGATTTGGGGATAAGTCTACAGGTTCGAATTCAAGGACGTGGTCGGGGTTAGGGAGATATTTTCGGAGCATGGATACGTGAAAGACATTGTGTATTCGAGATAGATGTAGTGGTAGGGCAAGGCGATAGGCTTGAGTACCGATTCGATTGAGAATTTTGAAAGGTCCAATATATCGAGGGCTTAGCTTCCCTCGTTTTCCGAATCGCATTATTCCTTTTAGTGGAGCGACTTTTAGAAAGACGTGGTCGCCAACATTGAATTCTAAGTCTCGTCTCCTTTTATTTGCGTATTTTTGTTGGCGATCTTGGGCCGACTTCATTTTCTCTCGGTTGTTTTTGATTATGTCGACTGTGTGTTGGACTAGTTCGGGGCCCAATAATTTTCGCTCGCCGACTTCGTCCCAATGGATTGGAGATCGGCACTTTCTTCCGTATAATGCTTCGTATGGCGCCATTTCAATCAACTATTGGTAACTATTATTGTACGAGAATTCGATGAGCGGTAGCCGGGTTTCCCAATTGCCACCAAAATCCATTATGCATGCTCGGAGCATATCTTCGAGAGTTTTGATCGTTCTCTCGGATTGACCGTCAGTTTGGGGATGGTATGCCGTACTAAAGGCTAGACGGGTCCCCATTGCTTCGTGCAAGCTCTTCCAAAATTTTGAAGTGAATCGGAGGTCTTGATCGGAAATAATTGATATAGGAATCCCGTGGAATCGCACAATTTCTCGGATGTAAAGTTCGACTAGCTTTTCGAGAATAAAGGTAGTCTTGACCGATAGAAAGTGAGCGGATTTGGTTAGCCGATCAACTATCATCAATATTGAGTCGGAACCTTTATTAGTTTTCGGAAATCCTTGAACGAAATCCATGGTTACCCTTTCCCATTTCCATTAGGGTATGAGGTTGGGCTGTAGAAGTCTGTCGGGCCGTTGGTGTTCCATCTTGACTTGTTGACAAACTAGGCATTAGGACACGAATTTGGCTATGTCTTTCTTCATTCTGGGCCACCAATATAATTTCTTCAAGTCTTGGTACATTGTTGTTTCACCCGGGTGGCAAGAGTATGGGGTTTTGTGAGCTTCGCAGAGAATTATTTCTTTCATCTCTTTGTTTGCCGGAACGCAAATTATTCCTTGGAATTTTAAGAGTTCGCCATCGGAGATCGAGAAACTGGGATTTTGACCAGTTGATAAGCTTTCTCGGATTTTTAGAAGTTGATCATCAAGGAGTTGGGTTGATTTCATAGTCGACTCGAGTGGCGGTTCAATGATCAAAGCGCACATGGACTTCCGGCTAAGAGCATCAGCCACGACATTAGCTTTACCGGGGTGGTAAAGTATTTCGCAATCGTAATCTTTGACCAATTCGAGCCATCATCTTTGTCTCATGTTAAGTTCCTTTTGGGTGAAGAAGTACTTTAGGCTTTTGTGGTTGTTGAAGATGGAACACTTCTCTCCGTAGAGATAGTGCCTCCAAATTTTGAGGGCGAAAACAACGGAGACAAGTTCCAAGTCATGCGTCGGGTAATTCTTCTCGTAATCTTTCAATTGAGGAGAGGAATAGGCAATTACGTTTCCATTTTGCATTAGGACGGCTTCGAGTCCGTGCTTGGAAGCATCGCTATAGACTACGTAGTTTCCGGTTTTGTTGATTTGTATTAATGTCCTAGGATTGTAGTTTGAGTTTTCATGATCCTTTTTGCGAATGCACTTTTGCGTGAGTACTTTTGTGCATGCTTTTGCACTTTTACTTATGTGCTTATCTTTTCTAGCGAGTGTTTTTGTGCATGTTTCTTGATGCGCATTCATGTCCTCGAATTGTGGTAGGTATGTTCGTGATCGCTTTTGGAATCCAATTTTGACCGTGTTCGAGTCCGAAGTTGGAAATTTGACGTTAGACAGGAATTGTAGCCAGCTGAAATAGCTTTCTAATGCCGCCGGAACCAGTTGTTTGGAGTCCGGAGGAGAATGTTATGCTCGACTTCGTGGACACTACCGAAGATGTTGAGGGATCCTCTCTTCTAATTTTATTTTATTTTCCTAATTGCAACTATTTTCTTACTCTTTGAGTATTTTAACTTCATGGACACATAATTATCGATTTGTACCTATAAGATACTCAATCCACCAATTAAAACAGAAACATAAATTCATCACAAAAAAAAAATCCACATAAACGTGAACGTAGAGTGTTATTTCTACACTCCATTGTATCTTTTGTATCTAGTGTTTTTGCTATTGTTTAGTTATGCGTATTAAAGTACTTGTGTTATAGTTCGTGTTTTTCAGAACGTTGTTGCGAATGCACTAGTGCGCATGTTTCTTTACATGTACGGTTGTGCAGGTCCAGTTGAGCGAGTGTGTTTGTGCATGTTTGTTGATTTTTATTAATGTCCTAGGATTGTAGTTTGTGCTTTTATGATCTTCTTTGCGAATGCACTTTTGTGTGAGTACTTTTGTGCATGCTTTTTTACTTTTACTTATGTGCGTATCTTTTCTTGCGAGTGTTTTTGTGCATGTTTCTTGATGCGCATTCATGTCCTTGAACTGTAGCATGTATTTTCATGATAGCTTTCGAAATCTAATTTTGACCATGTTCGAGTCCGAATTTGGAAATTTGACGTTAGACAGGAATTGTAGCTAGCTGAAATAGCATTCGAATGCCGCTTGAACATGTTAATTTGGAGTCCGGATGAGAAAGTTATGCTCGACTACGTGGACACTACCGAAGATATTAGGGATCCCCTCTTCTAATTTGATTTTATTTTCGTAATTGCAACTCTTTTCTTACTCTTTGATGATTTTTGCTTCATGGACACCTAATTATCGATTTGTACCTATAAGATACGAAACGAACAAATTTAAACAGAAATATAAATTAATCCAATAACAAATCCACGTAAACGTAAACGTAGAGTGTTATTTCTAAACTCCACTATAACTTTTGTGTCTAGTGTTTTTGTTGTTGTTTGGTTATGTGTATTAAAGTCCTAGTGTTGTAGTTCGTGTTTTTAAGAACGTAATTGCGAATGCGCTTTTGCGCATGTTTTTTTACATGTACGTTTGTGCATGTCCATTTGAGCGAATGTGTTTATGCATGTTTGTTGATTTGTATTAATGTCCTAGGATTGTAGTTTGTGTTTTCATGATCCTTTTTGCGAATGCACTTTTGCGTGAGTACTTTTGTTCATGCTTTTGTTGCTTTACTTATGTGCGATTTTTTTCTAGCGAGTGTTTTTGTGCACGTTTCTTGATGCGCATTCATGTTCTCGAACTCAACAACGTATTTTCATGATCGCTTTTGGAATCCAATTTTGACCATGTTCAAGTCCGAATTTGGAAATTTGACGTTAGGAAGGAATTGTAGTCAGCTGAAATAGCTTTCTAATGCCGCCGGAACCAGTTGATTTGGAGTCCGAATGACAAAGTTATGCTCGAGTTGGTGAACATTACCGAAGATGTTGAGGGATCCTCTCTTCTAATTTGATTTTATTTTCTTAATTGCAACTCTTTTCTTACTCTTTGATCATTTTTGCTTCATGGACACCTAATTATCGATTTGTACCTATAAGATACTAAATTCACCAATTAAAACAGAAATATAAATTAATCCAAAAAAAAATCCACGTAAACATAAACGTAGAGTGTTATTTCTAAACAACACTGTATCATTTGTATCTAGCTGTTGTTTGGTTATGCGTATAAAAGCCATAGTGTTGTAGTTCGTGTTTTTAAGAACGTTGTTGCGAATGTACTTTTGCACATGTTTTTTTACATGTATGTTTGTGCATGTCCAGTTGAGCAAGTGTGTTTGTGCATATTTGTTGATTTGTATTAATGTACTAGGATTATAGTTTGTGTTTTCATGATTCTTTTTGCGAATGCACTTTTGCATGAGTACTTTTCTGCAAGCTGTTATACTGTTACTTATGTGCGTATCTTTTCTAGCGAGTGTTTTTGTGCACGTTTCTTGATGAGAATTCATGTCCTCAAACTGAAGCACGTATTTTCATGATCGCTTTTGGAATCCAATTTTGACCATGTTCGAATCCGAATTTGGAAATTTGACGCTAGTCAAGAAATGTAGCTAGCTGAAATAGCTTTCTATTGCCGCCAGAACCGGTTGATTTGGAGTCCGGATGAGAAATTTATGC